TACAGCTGACAGTTGACTGTGGAATATTTAGGAGCGAGGAAATTTCACGACTGGATTTGTTGCACAGGTGGCATCCTATCACAGTTCCACGCTGGAATTCACTGAGCTCCTGAGAGCGACCCATTCTTTCACAAATGTTTGTAAAAACAGTCTGCATGCCTAGGTGCTTGAATTTATACACCTGTGGCCATGGAAGTGATTGGAACACCTGATTCCAATAATTTGGATGGGTGAGCAAATACTTTTGGCAATATAGTGTATCTGTCCTCCACCATTTGTGAGGAATTCATTGAATTGATGGGTGCAAAAACCAAACAGGCTATAGCAGATGAACTGCAAGCAAGCAAATACTACTCTATCATTGTGGATTCAACCCCAGATTTATCTCATGTGGACCAATTGACATTCATATTCCGTTTTGTTAGCAAAGAGGGCAGTGTTGTTGAACGCTTTGTGGGTTTTGAGCCCATTACTAGCCATACAGGTGAAAGTTTGGCTAACTGTGTCATGTCTGTGTTGGAAAATCTAGGGTTAGAGCTGTCAAATTGCCGGGGGCAGGCTTATGATAATGCCAGCAACATGTCAGGGAGGTATAATGGGTTGCAGGCTCACTTAAAGAAAAGCAACCCATTAATACACTATATTCCATGTGCAGCTCACTCTTTGAATTTGGTGGGAGTCAACAGCATTGACAGATGTGGAAATGAAGTCTCTAAGTATTTTGACTTGATTCAGTCTATTTACAACTTCACAACTGCATCCACACACCGATGGGACAGGGTATTTGGCAATTCCAACATAGATCTCACACTTAAAGCTTTATCCAACACGCGTTGGAGTTGCCGTGCAGAATCTACCAAAGCACTGTGGCAGAACTACAGTAAAATAAAAGCAGCACTACAGGTTATTTCCACTGATGACACAGAGAAACGAGACACACGAACTGAAGCTGACAGTCTAGTGCGGAAGCTGGATTCACTTGAGATGGCCTTCATGGCAGGCTTTTGGGACACTGTTCTGTCCAGATTTCAGGCCACAAGTCTGCAACTTCAAAAAGCAGACATGGACCTTGGTACAGCAGTTAGATTGCTGGAATCTCTGCGCACCTTTGTTCTTTCCCAAAGAGATCTATTTGATCATTTTGAGCAGAAAGCCTTAAACATGTTGGGTGGCACCCCATCTTACAGGGCTGAACGGACGAGGAAACGTAAAAAGTTTGCTGATGAATCAGCATCCCCAGATGTTGTGTTTGAGGGAAGGCAACTGTTTCAAATAGAGACATTTATTGCCTCTATTGATCAACTGAGTTCAAGCCTAAATCACCGTCTGGAGGCCTACAAACATCTGAACAATTTGTTCAGTGTCCTTTTCTCTTTGGATACAGAGTCCAATGCTTCAGTCCTTCACAAGGCCAAGATTCTCACTGAATCATACCCATCTGACCTCAATGAAAGTCTTGGACAGGAGCTTATACAGTTCAAATCTTTTATACAGCTCAACAACACTGATGAGGAGAGGACCCCTTCAGGACTGCTCAAAACAATAATACATTTTGGACTACAGCCTACGTTTCCTAATACATACATTGCGCTACAGATTTTTCTCACTCTACCGGTCAGTAACTGTGAGGGAGAACGCTCATTCTCTCTTTTGTCAAGAGTAAAAAATGAGCTGCGCACAAGAATGACTCAGAAAAGATTAAATGCGTTATCTCTAATGGCAATTGAGAGTGAGCTGACAAGAGAGCTGGACTTCAATGATGTGGTGGATGATTTTGCAAAATTGAAAGCACAAAAGAAACCCCTTGCTTAAAGGTGCACTGTGTAAGATTTTTAGGTTATTTCCAGAATTCACCCATTCACTAATGTTAGGCTACCTGTTTTCATGAATACTTACCACCACCATAAAATTCTAAGTATCCATTATGACTTAGAGAATTGCACTTTCGCCATTTCTGGGAAGTGTCACCTGGATTGTGAAGATAGGATTGACTTTAGGCAGAAGCTTGGTGCTTTCTCTGGCAAACTGAACCTCAAGCTTCATTCTCTGCAGCTTTGCATTCTTGTGCAGACTTTCATCCACAAGGAACTTTTCAACTTCCCCACTATTGTGAAGGGGCCATCAAAAGATTTCAGTGTGTCCAGCATGTCTAGTCTCTTACTCTCCTTTCTTTGAGCCATCTCTTGTTTCTCATCTGCCCTACTCTCGAATTTTGCCTTCATGAATTTACTCCAGTTGAGTTCAACCTCCCTTTTTGCTTGTGCTGCTGCCTTGAAACCTCTGAAGCTCCTGGCACTTCTGTAAAATTATTGACCTATTGACTGCGTTCAGTGTGCCCAACTTCTTCAGTTTGTAGTCCACCTTGCCACATTGTCTCTCCATCCCAATGTTGTGCACAGGGGTGCCATCAATGTTACTAGCCTGTTCACTGACAGGGTCCATTGGGAAGGTCTCCTCATCCATCTTCTGCCTGGCCAGGACAGTCTTCAGATGGGGCAGCGTGAGATCTGTCAGCTGCTTCACTTCATCCAAGTATTCGGCAGCCACGTCTGACACTGAGTTCAGGACATGTCCAGTGCCTGTCCAGCCACTATAGCATTCTTGGAAATGGGCTATCTTGACCTGCATGCAGCCCTTGTACCATGAACTGGCCTACACCTTTCTTTGTGGTGCTCTCCGATGCATGTTATCATTTTACCTTTCTCCTTCTCCTCAAGCTTAACCACAAATAGATACAGACTTTGAGCCTCAATTTGCTGCACAGCTGCCGTTATGCCAAAGTGTTTTCCTAAGATATTATTTTATTTTTAATGATAGAAGGGAGGAAAAGGGGGCAAAAATCATGTCCGATTTAGTTTTTTGGGTGGGGTGGGGGGTTTATTTCATGATAGCTACCAACTTCCAATACATAATATCTCTCAAATGACCCAATGCACCATCACTGAAGTGGGCATAATCATTTTCCAAAATGTTTATTTTTAGGCCATTTATCCCCTCCCCCTGTGTCTGTGTGAAACCTGTGCTTGTCAGTGTCTGTGTGGTATACCTAATAGTGTGTGTGCAGTATGTGCACTCTTCTGTACAGGACAGTGTGCATGTCTGTTCACAGTATACAGTATTTCTTGCGCGCGGGGGGTTGAGGGGCCAAGACCATGTCAGGCCCAGGGGGCCAAAATTTCTCAATCCGCCCCTGCAACCAGGTCTGCGCTCATATTGTGATTTGAAACCTATAGTTAAAATTCACACATGATCTGGACTCTTAACAAATTTTAATGAACTGTTCCTTGGCATGTGGTGCATCCCTGGTAACAATTTCCTTAAAATCCATTCATAAGTTTATAAATAAGGCTCAGCGTGTGTCTGCAGCCTCTGGTGTTGGTTCTGCTCTCATCTTCATTCACCCTGCTCCCTGCTCTCTTGTTTGATCAGCAGATCCAGTCATGGATAACCTTTCCTGTGTTCTTGTCTGCAGTATAATACTTTTTGACTTCTTTGGGTGAAGCTGTCAATAGTCACTGCTGCCACCCTCTGGTTTAGGACAGAACTGTTCAAAACTCTGTGCAAGTTATCTTGTACACAGACAGACAGAAACACACAAATCGACTCAATAAAATAATGTCCTAGGTTGAGGTTATTAACCAATGAGTGGCTAACTTTCAAAATAAGCAGAGTGTTTCTTTCTACAAGAAAATATCAGAGATTTTAGATTAGTGTTGCACCGATACCAGTATCGGACAGGGCCCTGATCCAGCACTAAAATGGTCGTACCGGTATCTGCAAGTACCAACAAATCGGGCACCAATGCCATTTTGAGAGTTTATTCAGCTAATGTCAGCCATTCCAGGTAGGCATTCACTTTGTATTAATCTTTTTCCTACTTCACAAAGGTAGGTAGCAGCTTGACAAAGCCATGATGGCAATTATTTTACATCCAAGTAGTATGCAGTTCTTCATATATATATACACACACATTAATTTCAAACAGATGGTATCGGTATCGGACAATACTACACAGCCAGGTATTGGTATCGGGTCCAAAAAATGGCATCGCCGCAAAACTATTTTAGATATTGGCAGATAAAATTGTATATGAGTTTTTTGGCTAATACCCAGTATTCGCGTTGAGGGGGGATGAGGAGGGATGGTATCCCCCTTCTTAAAGATTTATAAAAAAATTATCCCGCTTCTTAAATTACCTTCCCCCCATACCATCCCCTGTGAAACTTTATTACTGATTGTGTTAAAGTTCTACTGTATATAAACAGTAATGGCAATAATATTGCGCCTTTGAAATTTGGGGGACTGTGGGCTTACCAGTAGCCTGAGCAAAATAAATAAAATTTAAGAAGTTGTCTACCATGATTATGAAGCTGATCCCAGTGGGAAATTTATCCTCCACATTAGTCCCTAACTACGTAGGGGCAGTGATAGCTAGACCAGTCCAGGGACTGACTGCAGTTCTACTGTAAGGTGCCCTGACATGTAACAACCATACCATGCATAGTGCTTTAGGTTAATAGAATATATTAATTAGGTTAATTATGCTTCCAAAAAAAATAAAAATTCACCACCCCCCTTCTTTTTTTCTTTACAACCAGACTACTGCTAATATTGGACTGATATCCCATATTAATATCGGATCTGGACATCCCAGATCCGATATTAAGGGAATCACAAGTTATACATGTTTGTAATCCACATTGTCTGAAAGCATCTAAAACTGAACATTTTATTTGATGTACGATGGCCGTTTGAGGATCATTGCATCTGCAGCGCATAGATCTACAACCTAACTACTTAAGAAAATGTTTCCTAACCTTTTTGCAACTAATTTGTAGTGCTAACGGTGATTAGCCTGCTCACTGAGTAAACTGTTGTCTACAGAGCTTCCACCTGCTGTTCTCTTAGTACTCCTGTTTCTCCACCACTGCATTGCTTATTGAAGAGGAAATATTTTTCACTAATCTTTTTTTTAAATGTTTTATTTATTCTTTTGTCAGGATCCAAACCAGTTCATCCGAGCGAGTGCCTTAAGGGTCTTGTCCAGTATCCGTGTCCCAATTATCGTCCCCATCATGATGCTGGCCATCAAGGAGGCCGCCTCGGACCTTTCCCCCTATGTCAGGAAGACCTCTGCGCATGCCATCCAAAAACTCTACAGGTAGGGTTTTTTTTGCACCTATTGTTGGTATTAGCTGCTGGCAAACGAGGGGGATTAAGGCAACATGGCATCAATGGCGCTCAAACGAAAAATAGCTTTGGTGTTATCAACTGATTACAGACACATTGTCTGGTACATACCTGTTTATTAAAGTCGTCATTTAATAGGTTTTTAATTTCGTTGTGTTGTTAAAAAGTAATTGTTTCTTTACATCTGCTAGCACTTACAGAATCGAATCGCTATCATCAATATTTTGAAGGATTTCTAAATCCTGTTTTGCTGTTAGATTTCTTCGGAAAGCAATTTTTTCCTAACCTGACTCCGCCAGATGGATTTGCTCCGCATATCCATCAGGAAACCTTCTGTTGAAGTAATTTTGGGAAGGGGCGAAAATACTGGTTAGCTGATTGGCCTATGTTGGTGATAGACGGGCCAAATAAACCAATCAGATCAACGAAGCATATGACGTACTAACAGAGCGACGACGAAAACACAACCACAAGCCATCCTACTCTTGCCGAAACCAGTCGGGAGAAGAGCAAAAACATCTTTTCCTCTGAGAAAAGCCTCCAGAGCAGTGTTTTGCTCTTCTTTCAGTGAAGAAATACTGTGTAATTCCGATAAAACTTGCTCGATAGCCACCCTAACGCTAGTTTCATCGGCTGAAGCCGCCATGTTCTTTAGACTGAACTGTCGCGCTTCTCGTTGCGTCACACCTCAACCTGCCTCAAAGCCAACGCTGATTGGACGTTCGTTTGGTGAACGGCTCCAAATTTTCTTTAACGGAGAGTCTCCAGACTGATCTGCGAGTGAAACCTTGAAAGCTCGCGAGATCAGGATGGTCTCATGAGGCTAATTTTTTCCATATTAGCCAAAGAGTTCTGGGTAGAATGTTGGTTGCTAGGTAACGGTACCGAATGGCAATCAACGCGTGAAGAATTTACACTGCGACTAATGGAGCCGTCAAAATGACGGCTGTGGGAGATCGGGTTAAAATTAACTATATTTAAGTTTTACATTTTTATTTTATTAAAAAAAAACTGTTAAAATTGACAAAATAAAGAAAAAGAAAAGTAAATTAACATGAGCAACATAAGATTAATTCTAAATATAGTTCTTTCCCTTTAAAATCTCAGAACCGTCAAAATGACGGCCTTGGGAGTTCTAGTGTTAAAACACAAACAAACCAGCAATTTAATATCAAATTGGACTGAATCAAATTGATAGCAATCAGTTCTTAATCTTGAGAATCAGAATTGAATGGATTCTTGAAATTTGAATCATTACCCAGCTCTAGTTTTAATTTTATTATTTTATATTAAATCGACCTTTTGGACTGTGGTGTTTTTCTGGGAACACATGTCCAACAGGCTGAACAGATTGAAGTGTGATTCTTGCCAAAAACCAACACATTTGTTCCTGAACACAGTAGTTTTGGAAAGTCTGCTCTCATCCATTACATCTCATATGATTCTTGAATTTTGGTCCGATCTGTTTACGTTCCTCTTGAAGTTATTTCTGGTAATGGCTTAATTTCAGTGAGCCATGTAGCTTTTATCTTTTGAAAAAAACTCAAATGGAAAGTTCAGGTTTGGTCCAAAGTCCTTTATCCACTGTATTGCAAAGGTGGAATTCAAGGTGGAATATTAATCTTCTGTTTAAGCTTCATGGGGCGGGGCTTAAAGGACATGTTGAATGACAACTGACATTTTATGTGGTTTGATCAAAATATTCACAACTGTTACATGAAGGAACTGCAGAAAATAGTCTTTAAAGCTTAATAACAATTTATGTTTCAAAGTCTTTTTCAGTTTTTCTTCAGTTTTAAAAATTATTTTTCAATAAAAAAATTTTCCAGTATCAAAATACATCCATTTAGGGCTGAAAAAATTGGGTTAACCGTGATTAAATAACTAATTTTGTTATTTATTAATCCTTAACTGGAGTATAGAGACTCTAAAACATGTTTTTACCTGACAGAGCGACCCACTTAGAGCAGTGATTATATCAAAAGTGTAAAACAATATATAAATATTTTGCATTTTTGATCAAAAAAATTTTTTCATCTGTCAATATGCTCTATCCAGAACTCCTCAAGTAGAGAATAATTGTTAGTTGCAGCCCTACTTCAGTTTAAAATCTTTTTTCAAAGGACTTTTTTTGTTTATTTAAAATGCTTCTTTATGCTGAGATAAAAAGGTTTTTGAATGATCTTTAGGTCAAAACTTTGGGTGCAATGCATGCTCTCCACATCTCAAGGCTTGGATGCCGAATGAACTTATGAATCGACCAACGCATGCCGATACTGAAACGATAACAAAACACTATATTGGCAACAGTCAAAGCAATGGAGTCGCCGAGCGGCTGATTAGAGGAATCCTTGTTGACACAGTCAAAAGTTTAGTCCAAGATGCAGTTCAGATCCTTTTGTTTTATTGATCTTCAAAACATGCAATGCAGCATTCAAGAAAAAAAAAAAACGAATCCAGAAGTTCAAGCTGTGATCAAGCGCAAAAGAGAACAAAAGAAACCATCCAAAGCTTAAAGCGGTCAGCAAAAAGCAGACATCCCCCATCACTCACTCACTGAAACTCATCAGGTGAGCAAAACAGGTGATCTTACAAATCACTGCTGACACCATGTGATCAAAACTATGCCTATCCTCTAAACACTAAAATCGACCAAAAATATCCGGCCGCTCTATCTCTAGTTTAAATTCTATCTCTGTTTGAGCTTTTTTGAGAATAAAAAGTCTCTTGATGTGCAAAGCTGGTAGACTGTAATCTAATCACCATCTGGGAACAGTGTTAATACAAAATGTTGAATCTGAGTGCAGAATAAGAATGTATTGCACTTCTTAGATTTGTATTAGTAAAATATGTTAAACTATGTATTATTCAGCCTATAGTTTACTACTTTGAGTTCTCCAAAAAAAACCCAAAAAAAAACAATGTAATTATATGTTTGTTTTTGTAAGACAAAAAGTTCAGACGTAGGACAGGTGGTTTGGTTAATGTTTATGTATGAATAAATCCAGAACTATCGTCCCTTTTTGAAAATGTTTTCTTTTTTTTCCAGCTTGGATCCAGAACAGAAGGAGCAGCTGATCGAAGTGATTGAGAAACTGTTAAAAGATAAAAGCACGGTGAGTACTCATTGAGTAGTTCCCCCCCTCGTGATGGTTAAGTCACACCACTGGAGGGCGCCGGAGTCAAGCAATACTCTCATCCCTCCAGCCCACAGCTCATTCAGCAATGCCACGGTTTGTTAACACCCACTTAAACCCACACATCTTCAGATGCTCCTTGTTAAGTGTCCATTTGGAAGGAATTTTCGCACTGATGCTAGTGTCAGCTTAATTTTCTCTCAGGCCAACTCCTCTTTTTTCTTTCTTTTTTTGTTAAAATGGACCTCAAATGAGCTGGATTCCAGGGTTGTGTATTTAGGCCAATTGCAGAAACAATGCAGACACGTCCATTAGAAGTCAGCAGGCAGCGCATTCGTTGTGAGGAGGTCACCGCGTATACTAAGGGTCTTTAAATGGCAATTTCAAATATGTAGATGCTGGCTGGAGAGTACACTGTGGGTTGTGCTCATACACGCAGATTGTGCACAGTTTGTTGTGATTAGGTATTCATAGAATCCAACTATCATTATACAAACAAAACAAAGCGGTGTAGGCCAACAGAGGGGGGGGTGGCGGAAAGCCCCGGTACCAGATGCGGAGCATATTTAGCCCCAGACGCTAACGAAGACAGATGACTTCTATGTGCTGGAGCCTGAATTGTGAGGCAGGGGACTGAGGGAAAGGGCAGCATCATCACACAGACACACAAGCGCATCAGCCGGTGATGAATAGTGAAAACCCTAAACACAGTGCATGCATAATGACTGAAAAATAATGCATTTTTAGGAGTGCTGCTATGTGAGGTTGCCAGACACTTAAAACCGTGCTTCTCAGTAAGCTCAATGCGTACCATAGAAGTTTTAAGATGAGCTCATAGCATGTTTTGATGCACTGGGATGTTGTTTTGGATCGTTAAAATACCTACCAAGTTGGGCGTGCATGTGGCATAGTGATTAGCGTGCACAACCCTTAGTCCTCGAAGTGGCCGATCCGGGTTCGAATCCGACCTGTGGGATGTCCATGTCTCTCCCCTTCTCTCATACACCCTTTCCTATCAGCCTACTGTCAAAAAAGCGAGCCACTAGTTCTGCAAAAACTCAAAAAATAAAAAAATATAATGAATCTACCAAGTAATTCAGATTATAATACTTCTATCTCATTGATTCTGGGTTTATGGCTTTTTGTAGACATGATGAAAGCATTCAGTTACTGACATTGTTCTAAGTCTGTCTCTATTAAATGCAAGAGGTCCAACAATCATATTTTTACCAATATTTATTTGATTGATCATGATCTGATGCCTCCAGATGTTGAAAGACATTAGCACAGGAAGGTTAGGGTTGCTATCCCCTGCTGTAAAATACGGTGTATTTACTTGTTGAAAAAAGATTAGATTGTTGAGTTGCTAGACAGTGGTCAGGGGCAACAAAGTCCAAAACTGTCTGATTCTAGGCGGCGTGTGATTTCTGTGTGCCTCTAATTAGCTCCACTACTTAAAATCCCAGGTAGACTAGAAATTATGTTTGTCTTTGCTTAACCTTCTGCTAAGTTTTTTGTTTTTGTGTCATGCAGTTACCTGGAAAACTTTAAAGAAACCATAAAAAAAAAGCTGAACATAATTGATTTTAACCAGAGACACCATGGTTAACTGTTGTCACAGCTCAGATTTTACAAAATCTAGCGGCATTGCTACCTAGAGATGAAGAGATTCATGTTTTTCCTATTCAGTCTGATCAGATACACCAATCTGAAGGAATTAACCTAGTACCTTGCCATGCCAGTAAAGGCAACATGTTTGACATAAACATTGTTAGAAAAAGGTAATAAATGAAATATTATAATCATGAATAATAATAATTATTGAACTTTATTGATCTCACATTAGAGATTTATTCATTTACCAATACATTTAACCCAGTGGTTCTCAAACTTTTTCTGTCATTCCCCACTTTGGACAAGGGGGAATTTTCAAGCCCCGCCTGTCCCCATCGCCCCAACACAATGCTAATGAAATATGAAACAATCTTAAAATGTTCCAATTTTATTGAAGTAACAAGTAGTATCTAAATACAAACTATCTACATCAAATAACAGCAAGCTCAAAAATAAAGGAAATAAAAATGCAGCTGTGTCAAAATTTGTATCAAGCTCAAAGATAGAAAAAATTAATGTGCCACTCTGCAATCTGTTCATAAAAGAAAAGAAATGAAATCCAACAGGCAAGACAGGTCTATTTATCCCTGCATTAGTGGCTGCAATGGGCCTGTTTTGCATTGCACAGTTTCTCAAAACGGGGTTGCAGGCTTGATACTGCCACTCTCAAGTCATGCTTTGTTTTCAGTGAAGCAGCAGCTGAAAAGCCCATCTCACAGAGATATGATGTGGCAAGGGGAAGAAGAATGCACACAGCTCTCTGCCCGATGAGTGGATACTCCCTCTCCACTCCAAACTAGAAACATGAACATGTGGCTGTGTGAATCAAACGCCGTTATTTATTTAAGATAAAATATTTCAAATTCAGTTATTTATGATCAACCTGCGCCGTCAATCCCGGCGCATGTGCGCTTCATTTGCAGTCTGGACGCTGAGGGTAAACATGCTGTGTCTCTGACTGCAGCGCTGAGAGGGACTCCTGCGATAGCGGGGGAGAACGGGGTTGGGAGGGAGGAGGCGCCCCACGGCAGCAGGACAAGAAAAGGAACGATACGTGCTTTCCCGTAACCCCCAGATTCCACATACTCCGTCAGCGCTCCGCTCCGCTCCGCCCCGCTGACGTACGTCGTGCGGAGCGCTTGTCTTTCATGGAAATCAATGAGAGCTGTTCCACATCCACCGCTACTCCTCCGCACGTCTCCGTCCACGTATGTCTTCTCCGTCCGTCACCGACAAATTACGGAGCCGAGCTATTTTTTGCTCCGCTCCGGCCAGGTCAAGATCCGCAATTGCAATCGCACCAAACAGGAAAAAGAACCTCGACAAATTCCGGTTCGTCAAATTAAAATATAGTAGCAACAGATCGGTGACTAGAAATTATAGCACAATTCTTATAAATATCAAAAAAAAAAATAAAAAGAATAACACCGTTTATTTAAATGATTGGATCCAAACTATTGGTTATTCACCAACCAGGAAGCAGATTTCTCATCTCCATTAAAATATTTATTTTATACCGAGGGACTTAAAGTTTAATCAAATCCATTCAAAAGAAACTTCTTATTACATGAATGAAAAGAGATGCTGAGTTGTAGAGAACAAGTTCATATAAAAAAAAAAGCAGTTTTGAATTATCCTTATCTCTGTTACAAAAATCTACAAATATATATATATATATATATATATATATATATATATATATATATATATATATATATATATATATATATATATATTTGGGCAGAAACTGAACATATGCTGGATGATGGTGGGATTTTTTTAATATGTCATATTAAATTAAGCGCTCACAGGGTTCATACAGGAATGAGTGACTCTAATTTAATGCTATTTTAATGCTATTTGAAATGATTTTAATGCCATTAACAAGAACCATGTACACAAGTTATTAGTGTACATGAAATATGGAGCTGTAAGCACAGTTCCATGACTCCTGTATGTATGTAAAAACACACACACACACATATATATACGTATATATATTCTCTAGCTTTTTCTCCGCCTCGAGCTTCCTTTCCGAACATACGGCTTTATAAACAGTTCCACGCAAATTAATAGCGATATAATATATCTGACGAAATTGTTTTTAGAAGCATTTTTATTAAAGAATCATAAATGCAACGATAAACATATTTAATTAATTTTAGTGCCAATTAAGGGCTTGATTAAAAAAAGAATTATGAATTGTAATTATTTTTAATGATCCGCGGAAACCCTGGTTCATCTGGCGCATGCCCTCTACGATCTCCAAGGAACTCAGAGCGGAGCGGAGGGGACAGCGGCGGCTGTAGGCTTTGCTTTGTGCAGGCGGTCTGGAGCGGAGCGGAGCGGAGCGCTGACGGACTATGTTCTCCAAAAGTCGCTAGATTTGTCGCTAGTCGCTTTTTTGAAAAAGAGTCGCTGGAGGGGTCTGAAATATGGCGACAAAGTCGCTGAGTTGGCAACACTGGGGCGCGAAAGTTTATTCCGTTACAAATAATATGCCGACGTCACGTCAATCATCATTTTGGCACTTCAGTTCCAGGTGAAATTTTTCTCATATCTAATGTTCTTTTAATTAGACTGCATGTAGGCTAGTAATGATTACTTTGTGGGTTTGATTGGTCTAAAAAGCGGCAACATACAGCTATAAGGACAGTTTGCTCTCACACGTTATAGTCACACACACACACACACACACACACACACACACACACACACACACACACACACACACACACACACACACACACACACACACACACACACACACACACACACACACACACACACACACACACACACACACACACACACACACCGGAACTTGGCGCGCCCCACCTGTCACGTCTCAATTCCCCACCAGTGGGTCGCGCCACACACTTTGAGAACCGCGGATTTAACCCTTCCTCTTGGGGCGACCAGGGAACTGTGTGGGGTCTTGCTCAGAAACCCAAAGTGGCAGTCTGTGGGAGTGGGACTTGAACTCGGAACCTCAGGATTCCAAGCTCTATGCCCTAACCATTAGGCCGCCACTCCTATAAATCATCGCTAGCTGCTGAGTGCGCTCTGCGCAAAGAAGTAAATAACTTTGTTATTGTAAAATTGTAGTCATTGCTTTACAGTAACTGCTTATTATTATATATATATATATATATATATATATATATATATATATATATATAAATAAATATAAATAAATAAATGGGATCGTAAAGCTGGATCGGCGTCATTTATGCGATATCCGATACAAATAACTGGTCTTTAACTTAACGATATTCAATTATCGTTTCGCTGCATTCCTATTTCCACATATATCTTTTTTGTTTTATAGTTGAAAGTTGTATCATTAGCTTAAAGTTGAGAAA